TGAAAGTATTTCATCTGACTAATACAGAATCTTAGATTCATGCCGTCAGTTCAAGGTATTTCATCTGACTAATACAGAATCTTAGATTCATGCCGTCAGCTCAAGGTATTTCATCTGACTAATACAGAATCTTAGATTCATGCCGTCAGTTCAAGGTATTTCATCTGACTAATACAGAATCTTAGATTCATGCCGCCAGTTGAAAGTATTTCATCTGACTAATACAGAATCTTAGATTCATGCCGTCAGCTCAAGGCATTTCATCTGACTAATACAGAATCTTAGAATCACGCCGTCAGCTCAAGGTATTTCATCTGACTAATACAGAATCTTTACTGTGAGTTAAGACTAAATTGCCCTTAAATTGATCGCTTATGAAAATACATTGTTGCAATAAATATTACAAAATATAAAATATTAATGGTTCAAAAATAAAATGATAAACCTTCACAGTGGTGAGCGTACCTACACACTTATCATTTCACTCATCTTATTTTGCTTCACTCAATATATTTTATGTTAGATATAATTAGTTTTCATGTTAAATATATTCTCTTGCAATGTTTGAGTATTGTAAGTGATTTTAGTTTTTAGTTGTCTTTAGAGTATCGTAAGTGATTTTAGTTGTCTTTAGAGTATCGTAAGTGATTTTAGTTGTCTTTAGAGTATTGTAAGTGATTCCAGTTGTGTTTAGAGTATTGTAAATGATTCCAATTGTCTTTAGAGTATTGTAACTGGTTTCCAATTGTCTTTAGAGTATTGTAAGTGATTCCAATTGTCAAATCACTTACGATACTTAGTTGTCTTTAGAGTATTGTAAGTGATTTTAGTTGTCTTTAGAGTATTGTAAGTGATTTCCAGTTGTCTTTAGAGTATTGTAAGTGATTTCCAGTTGTCTTTAGAGTATTGTAAGTGATTTCCAATTGTCTTTAGAGTATTGTAAGTGATTCCGGTTGTAACTACTGAGCATTATTCAAAATCCTGTATAATTCGGGTTTCATTTCTTACTAAATGAATGATTATATTTGAACTACCTTGTTGAATACTTAACGTTTCAGCACTGGGACTCTGCTACTTGAACAAGTGTCTTCTCGACCAATGTCCGCACCATCTGCTTCTGAAATACACCAAGAACCAGAAACGGTTTCTGTACAACCACATGAACAACTTCCTGTCAAACCAAAGGTAGTGTGGTCATTATACAAAGCTGGAGATGAAGTAACAGAGCTGGGGAACATGTGGGAAAAGGTATGGAAACTTCTAGTTTACCAAGTTTAATACAACTAAGTGAAGGTTTCTACACAGATCATCAAATCAGAGAAAGGGCTAAAGGGTACTCAGACTGTTTCGGGTTTGGCGATATCTGCGGTAGCCATTCCTAATTTAGCAGTGATAGACTAAAGGGAAGGCAGCTAGTCAACACTATCCATCACCAATTTTTAAGCTAATTTGTTACCAATTAATAGTGGGATTTACCGTCACATTATAACGCTCCCACGGCTGAAAGGGCAAGCTTGTTTGGTGACGGAAATTCGAACCAGATTGTTGCTTTTTTTCAAAATTTCACGCAAAGCTACGTAACGGTTATCTGCACATAGCTGTCCCTAATGTTGAACTGATAGATAAAAGTGTAAGAGCGCTTCTCAATAGCACCCACCGCCAACTCTTGTCCGATTGAATAATGGAACTAGACCGTCACTCTTATAACATCAAAGTGTGCAACGTGTTTTTACGATAACAGGAGATCGCGTGGAAAAATAATAGAAAATTCAGTAATAGTCTCAAAAAAAACCTGCGTCCAACACCAATAATGAATGTTCCAACACGAGTTTCTTACACCTAATATTGTAATCAAAAACAACACTTTTCTTTGGTAACCTTTATTGAAAATCTGAGCGTTGATACCTCTTGAAATCACGCTTATATAGCTCATAAATCTTCAATTATTTCGTTAAGTTTATTTCTTTAAGTATCAAACATTAAATTTCTACTGTCTTCATACTGTTATTCCTTAAAAACAAGTAGAGATTATGACAATTTTAAACCAATGATCTTTCAAGCTGCTCAAGAAGAGTCATTAAAACACAAATGAACGTTTTCATAAACCGTCAACTTCAACACAGAGCATCCACCTGTACAATCTGCTGGATTTCTTACAATAAATGTAACCTACTGTTTGTGAATGAAACAAAACAGTCAAATTCTGGAACATCGTAAGAGCATAAGAAGTGCTAACAACGCGCCAAGATACCTTATGACTCTGTTGACCAGTTGATATTAATATCAACATTTGTGGTCAGAATGTACTTGTCAATTTCTGAAAAGGGGGACTAATCTTCAAGTCTGGAGTTCCACAGCTCGAGAGAATGAATTTTCAGTTGTGTGTAATTATTACGAGTTGATAATACTTCCCTCTTCCATTATCCGGATTGTTTATCACGCATATAATTTGTGTTTGCACTGATGTATTCAACAGTTCTGCTGCTTACATTGTTAAATTACACTCCTACCATTTCATTTAATACAATTGCAGCACAAATCAACTCCTTGGTATGTGAAAACTTGCTTACGTTGATTATGGGAAAACTTTAATATTCTATAACCTATATTACCAGGGTAATATCACTGGTCACCTCTTTAGAATCATTATGGTCGTGTGCACACATATAGGTATCGGTACATTTAGACAGAAAATGTGACTTAAAGTACCAACAAGATCTACAGGCAAACATACAAACTCATTATGAGTATTCCCACCAGGTGGTTTAGCGGTAGTGATTGAAGGCTTATAACGCTAAATTTTCTGATAGCCTATTGTACAGCTTTTAACTTAAAAATAAGCAAACATTATTAGTTCGCTTTAAAACAAAGATGCAGAGGAAGAATGGGTAAGATTATTATGATACAGCTATTAACTGATACAAAAGTTGAGGAAGAATAGATAAGATTATTATGATACAGCCATTAACTGATACAAAAGTTTAAGAACAATAGGTAACATTATCATAATACAGCCATTAACTGATACAAAAGTTGAGGAACAATAGGTAAGATTATCATAATACAGCCATTAACTGAAAAAAACTGAGAGGAAGAACATGTAAGCTTATTGTAATACAAACCTAATCATGCGAATAAATTTCAAATTTGTATCAACTCTATCGCCACGTGCTCGGTCGATTCGACCGACCTCGTAACCACTTTATATTCGTTATAGTTTCCATATTATAACTTTTGGTACAGTATATATATATATATCTTCACAAAATATATATCCATCAGGGAGCCTTGGGGCAATCATAACATCATGAAGGCAGTTAAAAACACCTTAGTCATGAAGGAAAGGGGCTGTCAAGTGCATGAACGGCGTGTAGAAAAAAGCTGTGGCCTAACCGCGTAACTGACTTTGTTAATTTTGAACCTGATATGCCTCAAATTCACAACAGGCTTGTTTCAAGGAAGTTAATGAGGATGATGTGGACGAGTTACTAAATTCTCATTAGGAGAGTTTAACAAACGAAGATGTCCTAGAGCTGGCCTAACTAGCAGAAGATGTGGCTGCAAGTAATGCTGATAAACTCCACTAGAGAGAGTTCTTAAATGCTATCAGACATATTTAATAAGGTCAATGAAACTCCCTCTGAAAATGACCCTGACATGGTGCATAGCATGGCAAGGAATATGCAGGTCTTGTTACCAAGAGATTTATAAAGAAAACATGACTACTTACCATCTCTCCTTTCATTAAGAAACAGTCAACTACACATACACCCGAAGAGAAGGCAGATAGTCCCGCACCCCTTCCACATGGAGTCAGCTTCGAGACTATCACCGATGCATTTTTATTAATTAAATTTATTAGTAATATTTTTTTCAGGTGATACTGTACCTTAATGTATTTTGTATTGTAAAAATAGTGAGTAAAATATGTGAAACAATTTACTATTGAAACATTTTCGTTGTAACCCTCGGGATCGCATTCATGACGTATAACAAGGACTTCAATGATTACAATATTGATCACAACTTCATTTTTCAAGGAATTCATATTGATAATGTTTTCAGTGCAACTTATGATGTCACTTCCTGTTTCAGAACTTTGGGTTAAATTTCAATCTAATCTCTTAAATATTACTTTAAAACTTTTTATCTTCTAGGAATATAATTTAAAGAGAAGTAAAGCATCTGAAAACTTATCAAAGATATCGGATGATGGATGTTTCCAAGGAAGACCAATTTCTGCTATGACAGTAAGCGAGATTATCCATTTACGTAATGTAATAGAAACACAATACTACCACTACTATTAAAATGAAATTCAGAATGCTAGTTCCTTTCTCCTATTTTTATACACCTAGATGAGCTTTTCTTTCATAATTTGGTTCCTAACAGACTCGGGAAACTTTTCTAACTTTAAGTTCCACTTCATTCTAATGAGAAACACCAGCAGAAACACACTACTACTTCAGACTTTCCAGAAGCAGACCCAAACGTCTACCTGTAACTGTGTTTGATATATCCCAGCCGGCCTGATGAGCTCTGGATTGAGCGAAAAGTGTCGTCGGCAATGGATATGACGAATATAGTGTTGTTGAAATTATCACACACCCTTCTAATTCTTGAAAATCTCCAAGGAAATGGATTAGGAATGCAATGCTAAAAATATAATAGGCTTAATATAATGTCTTATGACAAATATAACTAGATAACTTATTGATAGGTTGATTTTGAGTTCCACTCTAAGTAAGTAACTTATTGTGATCAGATATTAATCAATAATGTAACAGTATAAGGAAGATAGTTTCTCCACATCAATATTCTAAAGTGGGTTTGGTTTAAATTTCGCGCAAAGCTACACACGATGGCTATCTGCGCTAGTCGTCCCAAATTTAGCAGTGAAGGTAGCTAATCATCACCACTATCCGCGAACTCTTGGGCTACTCTTTTACCAACGATTAGTGGGATTGATCGTTACATTATAACGCCCCCACGGCTGAAAGGGCGAGCATGTTTGGTGTGACGGGGATTCGAACTCGCGACCTTCAGATTGCGAATCAAGCGCCCTAACCACCTAGCCATACCGGGCCTCTAAAGTGGGTTTAGATTATTAACGTCATACACTTTGGAGCTTAAATTTGTCATACGTCTATAGGCGACGGAACATATTTGAATTTTTTTGGGGAGGAGGGGCGACGATTGGATTCATCTTATTTGCTATATTAAACGCGACCATTGAATTCAAAATTGAAACGGCGAATTATAGGCTAGTCTCTATACCCCAGTCAAATGGCCACTTTGCTACGGGATCAAAGATCTGGGGTACACCCTCCTCCTCCGGTTCCACTGCTTATGTAAAAGTCCTTTGAAATTCACATTATACTGTCAAGTTTAACATACAGCAACACGTATGCAGCTTCCTCTTTTCTCGATGTAGGGTTCGTCCACTAGGAGGCATCTGTAACGTTTTAAACTTTCTAAGACTTGTTTTCATTTCTTTAGAAGAAAAATGCAATAGTTTTAAAAAGTGGGTAAATAATTATGAACAATTACATAGAAAAATAATTACATAATGTCTTGACGAAATTGTAAAAGGAGATGAACTCGAGTATGGAAGCGATACGTGTTATGTCAACTACACATGATAGAGACATCCATAAAACGGAACGGAAAAGAAACACCAATAATATGCAAACCGCCTTCTCATTAATCCTCAAATTACCGGTTTCTTTTAATACCTTTCACTACCGGTGGGATCCTCAAATTAAGGAATTTTATGTTTTTGCTTCTGCACTCATTATAAAAAACTGCCAAACAAAATTGGGTGAGATAATATGCTTAACGTATAGAAAACCTCAGCTGTAATTAGTGGTATTAATTGTGATATCGATGGTATTTTTTAATTAGCACGTTACTAGGGGCCTTGTAACCAACAAATTCTTGGGCCAACAGACAATTCGCTGCACAATTAATTTAGGAAAATTGCGTTCAAAATGCTGATGGGGTGCAGGCCCAATCGCTATCTCTAGGGTTAACAATCGCTATATTAACAGTGGTATGTTAAAATAACAAAAGTAAACAATTAGTCAAACCTTTATTTTTTCGTGTAATTTGTTCTGTAAATACTTACAATGAAACTGTTAATGTGTATTTAGAGGTATTCAACTGAATTAATTAAGAATTTTGTGTACTTTCTCAGTATTTTTCACTCATATATAAACTTACGATTTCTTTTCAAAGAATCCGAAGAGTTTTTCAAAGTTCCGACCGATAACAGCGCCCTCTACTATTCATAGCGGAATTGGAAGTTCTGACAGCTCGCTTCACGATAGTTTCAACTCTTTCCCGCATAACAAAAGGTCAACAAGGCTATTTCAGCAGAGAGCGCATGCGCCAAAAGCTTCCACTTCATGTCCAGTTCTCGATGTCCTTCATGAAGATCCTGAATACGCTACAATTGGGAAGTTTCGGTCAACAGTCGACTTGCACGCGCAGCAACGCGGGACACTAACACCAGAAGAAGATTACGATGAAATCGATACAGTAAACGCGATCAGAATTCGCGAGCCTGCACTGTCGGTTATCCAAGCTATTAGAGATGAACTGAAAAAGTTCAATAGTTCACTCACTGGGAATAGCACCGAAAGCTTTGCATGAAGGGACGTTCTTACGTTATTGGATTAAATCAGCGATACACAGAAACATGACCCGTCATTTTGGTTTTCTTCCGAGATTCGTTGATCACACATTTTTGTTACCACCAATCTTAAAACAATAATAATAGAAGTAACAGATCTTTGTTGTTTACGTCCACGTACTTTGTAAACCACCGTGTTGGGGAACATTACAATGTGATGGAGCTAAAGTTTTCAGAATTCTGTGCGTTCGCTGATGTATTTTATATAGGCTTTGTGTTAAAACAAATCGAAGATACGTTCTAAAAATCCAGATTTTGTTAGTTGAAAATATCATAATGAGTAACTTTACAAACATTTGATCCAAATTTTGTTACTTGAAAATAATACATAAAGTGTAATTCGGTGCCCGTTTATATGAAAAGAATTCTGAACAGCCAATTTGGAAAAATAAAATTATCATTAACATCTACGACTCGATTTACTGTATGGAATAGTTTGCACGGATCACGTGACTTGTTAACTGTCTCTCAGAACAGCATAAAAGGGATAACTTATTAGTTTAACACAAAGGGATATCTAAGCTCTTCCCACCACGGGTATAGAAACCTGTTGTTTGTTTTGCGTTGCAAGTTTAAAGATTTATCGCCGAGTCGCTGGGGTTCGAGGGACAACTTATTAATGTAATTACACACCTACAAGCTAATACCATCATCACAAGGTTTACCAATCAACAAATTTACTTCCATTTTAAAAATCTACGTCACAGTAAACTTAAGTAGCTGTGCTGACCCTCTACTGCACGCATTAGGAAAATACGATTGGAAAAAATTGAATGTCTTATCTAAACAGGTCTACATTGCACAAAAAAGATATTTTGATAAGTTATAAATGTGTATTAATTGAGAACAAAGATAGATTTGACACCTGTATGTATAAATGTGCAATAAAGGGTTAAAGTGTTTACGTCTGTTCTTCAAATGAATAGATGTGTGTGTATATACTTTTAATGACCATACACATCTCAATTAACACATTTAAGTACTAACATTAATAATATATGTGGCCTTTTGTAGACAAATATACTTAACAAGCAACGTTTCTTGAGTGGTATAATTATAGATACAATAATTATGCATGATATTTTTTGTATATGCAAGTAGAATCATTCATACCGTTTGGTGTATGACAAAATTTAGTGTACACCAAACAATTAGCAACAGTTAACTGAACCATGCTTATGACTTGCATTATTTCAAATGTAATCACTACCTATTTGATCGTTTCACTTACCTAGCTGAACACAGGAAATTTTCAAAGATGACGTTGCAAAAATTTGCCCACGATATTATTCACCAACAGACTACCTCATCTACTATTACGAAATATTTGGCTAGTGTATTATTGACCAACACTCTCTCTTTAACCTCATTACCTGGGAACTATGATAAACAACACTAGATGGCAGCAGCTGATAAACATGATTCAATCTAGTGGTATATTAATTACAAAAAAAAAAAATATATAATTTTTAAGTATAGTATCTATAAACGGTTACTTCCTGTGCATTTCAAATTTATTAGACATAAAAAAATTAAAAAGATCCGTCAAACTATCGTTGATTTGTAAAGATTTAACATTACTCCAACAGCAGCTCTCTCTCAATTTGCATTTTGCATATTCTGCATTTTAAATATTACTCCATTCAGGAGAGTCAATGCCTACAGCTATAGTTTTGATATCTAAATTGTATATAGAGGTTAACCAAGGGTAATATTTTAAAAATTACTCCATTCAGGAGAGTCAATGCCTACAGCTATAGTTTTGATTTCTAAATTGTATCTAGAGGTTAACCAGGGGTAATTTGCAGTTTAATCATTGAAGACTACTGAACATCGTTCCGGGGGGAGGTGGGGGTCCAAATGACAGTTTCTTTGAGACGTTCCTAGTAGGCCCGACTATTAACACATACAAAACTACGCCACAGCCTAGCCCCCCCCCCCACGAATGTTAGCCACATTTACTAAAGTTAGTCATCGACATGAATAAATTAATTAATTCATTCTTTTTATGTATTTAGTGAACAGACTCGTGCTCTTAATTACCCACCTATATTTATCGAACAACCTTCGATAATATTTAATAATGACTCTGTGAACGGTGTTTGATACTGTTAACAGAGAATTTGTTACCACCTTATTTAAGCCCACACGATAGATAATGTTTCAATGTACTTTTATTATTTCAAATGTCAACTTTTAAACTGAACTAGCTGAATCCAAAAATTGTAATTCATAACTGACACCAGTAAACTTTGTTAATTTAACATTCAAGCAATCTGTTGTTGTTTGTTTTTAAATCAATTTAAGGGAGTTTTTAAAATGTCTTCAGGATGAATAATGCTAAAAAATATGGCGGACATATATTACATGGTGATTTTGATTCACTATTTATTGGAAACATTCCAGATTGTTGGCCGTAAGTAATGTTTGTTATCCCACAAACTGGATCTGTAACACAAACACATTTTCCTAACACTTAACAGAACCACGCTCTTTAAATACAAGACATGAAATACTCATCTAAACCAATATATCAAAAGGCTAGGATATGAACAGATTTGTAGAACACCTCACAACGCTTGAAATGAGGACAACTAGAAAATATTGTAACCAGGGCTAATCCTTACAGAATTTTAAATTAAGATCTAGTTTCTACATCAATCAATTTATAAAACTGCTGATCCCCATCAATGTTCGTGTCTCATTTCACGATCAGTCACCTGGTTTATGTTTTGTAACAGTACAGCTACTCACACGTTCAAGTTAATGCACTTAAAAACACAAATGAACTAAGCCTAAAACCACCTAAATATTAATTTTCATACAGACATAAAAAGACACAGAATTAGTTAATCCCACAAAGTTCAATGCAGAATTAGTTCTAAAAACAAAATCAAGCTAGTTTTGAAAGATCTCAGAAGATAACAGTATTCTACAAACTGGTTTACAGATTTATGTCAAGCATCATCTAACCCATCACATATCTTGAACAAGTATATCACGTCACCTTTTACCAACGTTTTTCTTTTCACTTTAAAACCAGAACTTTTACAGCAGTTTATAATTGAAAGAAAATAGATTTAAAATAACTTCAATTACAAAATTATTAATTTAACATCTTTTCATCTGTGATGCATAATTCAACACATAAATATGAACTAGAACATACAGTTTCAATAGATTTTTTCTATAGCTTGCACTAACTACAAAAGGGACAAAAACAAGTTTTATATAAACCTATGTTTAAATGAAAAACTGAGAAATAACTTAAAAGAAAAACACTGGAGAAAATTTTATGCATAATCAACATATCTTTATTAAAGATTAGATATTTTAACATTTTTTTTAACTATACCAAATTTTAGAAAAAAAATATGGAAGATTTTTTTTTGCAGGAGATTACTTTCAAAGATCGTTACTTTCTTTTAATCGAAAACCCTTCACATACAAAGGAGCATCATCAACATTTTGATCTACTCGAGATCAAGCTTTTAAAAGAGATTAAGAATCTTTTCTTGTATTTTAGATTTAGGAAATGATGAAATTCATTATACGAGTTTGGTATTTTCTCTAGCATTCACATTCTGTATGTGCGAGAAAAATTCCACAAAACACCCTGAAAGGCATATTGCAGAGAACAAGCTTATGTCTACATTAACTTTAGAGAAAACTTTCCAACATAACATGATCACAGTCCAGTCAACATTATCAAAACACCTATCATGGAGGTACTCAGGTTTCATAAAAAAAGAAAAGAAGCATAATTTTGTAAAATTTACTCTCTCTTAGATTTGGGGAGGGGGGGCAGTGGGTTTGTCCCAGATAGAAGCACACTGTAATGTACTAACAGAATTTTTGAGTACTGGATAATGAAATTCAAAATGAATACCATAATGTAGCACAACACTTACGTAATACACTAAGAAGTAAATTTTAAAAGTTCTTATATTTCTCTCATTTCATGATATTTAATTCCAATTCAATAAACACAAAAATCAGCATCTAAGCTTGTTACCTATCAGATCTTTTAGGTTTCCAAACGCTTCATAATCCTTATCATATTCTTAATGATTAAGTCAAATGTTTTCTATTTATGGGTAAGAAAGAACTAAAACAACTGTACAGACGCTCTGGAATTTGTATGTTCTGAACAACCATACTGAGGCTATTTTCATACTTCCTCTGGACAATGTCATCACTTAAAAACCACATGCTGTCCCAACAGTGTATCTGGAATCTGTGTTGAAGACATTAGCTACAAAATAAAAACCTGACACCAGACCTGGAAACAGCAAAATTCATGCATTCAAGACGGCGACTCCAGAGGCATAACCAGCATCGGTGATTTAAAGTAAATTATGTATAAAAGAGCAACTTATGGACTGTTTAGAAATCCACTCGGTGAGTGATTGCCACCCAGCTTGACAGACAGACACAATCTTTTCGTGATTCCTAAGACCTGAAATGCTGCTAAATGGCCTCACAGGGTCATGATTATAGGTAGAATAAGCCATACTTTCATCTGTTAATTATTCACTTTCTCCTACAGACAGACATACCAAAATGCTTTCTCAACACACAATTCTGAGAGCAAGTAGTTTAGTTTTCTCCTTCATCAGAAGCATCTTCTTCTTCTGCTTCTTCCAGCCAGGTTAGCCACTGGTTTACCTAAAATACACAAAACTTTGACATTGCTGACACAATAAACAAATAAGAAAAGGGATCGCTTCACAATTTACTCCTTAACTTACCATCTAAAAAAACAGTGAAATGTTTTTTCACTTATTCAAAGAACCCATGAGTGAAAGCAAAAGTAAATATGTTATTATATATACACTACACTACACCTGCTATCCAGCACAAACAAGGCTTTTAGGCCAATATTAGGGCTCATTAAATTGGGTAGGATACGACAGACACAGTACTGGTCTAAGTGCTATATACATATCAACAACTTTCATGAACAACTGTTATATTGTGAATCAAATTAAGCAATTACATTGTGACTAGTATCAATTTTTATTTAAGTAATTTACCAATCAGATTCAAATGGTGCAAATTAATTACTCATTCTTATTTATTTTTTGTATTATATTTTAACATTAATTGATTATTTTACTTACTTAATCATCATTTTACTTGAATTTTACATTACTATCATTCACAAGAACTGGGGAACCAGTAAGCTAGTCTTCTTGTCCGACAGCTTCAGTACTATCATCTTCTAAACCTTTTCATGACAACCAGCGTTCACAAGTTTAATTACTATTAAGATTAAATGTCATGTTTAAATTATAAAAACGTTAAAAGTTTAAAAATGTTCTTCCTCGTATTAGGCCCATATTATCAACAAACCCTTGGGTGATCAATACACATTACCTCGTAACCTATTTCGGATACAATATTCTATAGTTTTCTTATCAATGTACCCTTAAACAAAAAAAAAAAAAATTGTTTTTGACATTTTCACAAATAAAAGCATAGTGGTCAACCTTCCCTACCTACATCTTCAACATGATAATTATATTTTAGCACTGGGAAATACCTATTGTACATAACTCGTGTAGTAGTAAGCAGCAGCAACAACACAATGAGTCATGTAAACATAAAAACCACTTAGGATCCTATGCACTTTATTACCTTGGTTATTATTAATTCATTTGAACAAACCAAATAAATGTTAGAACAAGTTGTGGAAATGAAAAAGGCAAACTTTTATCAAAATACTGAATTATAAACGCAACATGGCCTTAATGTTATATAGCACAATAACACATCCTGTGATCTTAAGAATCAGAAAACATTTCTGTAAACATTCTACATCAATCAATGATCAATGAAAAAGCACATGTTAGCCAATAAGAAATATTCACTTTTTTGTTCTCTGATTTGGAATACTTCATATCACAAACCATGAACATGACTAGGTTCAAGTTTTATACAGCCTTCGACATATAGCAGGGGTCTCCAAACCTTTTTGGACTAGGACTGGGAGGTAGATCTTTTTAGGCTTCGCGGGCCCGAGGGGGTCGTGGTAAAATTAAGTAGGGACGCATACATGATCAGATTGGCTTTTGCACAATTACATTTTAGTTTTACAATATTAAAAAATTATATTAATTTAATAAACTATAGGCGGGCCTGATACACCGAATTCACGGTCCATAATTTGGAGACCCTTGACACGTAGCATCGTATTTAGTACCTTAGCATATCAAGAGGCATGGTATCAAATACCTTATGATATCTAGAAACATAATAATTGAACATGATATCTAGAGTATAGCAGGGTGATTAACTCAATGTATTCTCTTACCAACAAGCATTGATTACATCAGTAAGTGTCTCCTAAAATAACTGATGTCACGTAAACAGCCAAGTAGAGATTTGTTGCTTTATTTTCAGCAGATTTCTACTTCAGTCATTGACAGTAAAATAAACCCAGAAAATGAATATGAAATGTTTAGCAGTTCAAACTCTGAAGAAAAGTACTTTGAAACTGTGACCAATAATAAAGATAAAAGGACACAGCTAATCCACCCACTGATACCTCCTGTTGACAACACTTCATGTCAAGGCAACTCACAAACACCCATATCCTGTATACACTAAACAAAATGGGGGGAGGCCTTAAAATTCAGAAACTTAGTACGGTCAATATGGAATCCAGCCTTGCGTGACTCACTTCTGATATTAAGGGCACCTTGTTATAGAGGGCATTTGGACGCAGTCAGAAGGGTGCCCTTAATGTCGAGGTTCTACTGTGCTTGTATGTCTTGTAGTATTTAATCCAATGGGTATGTGTAAAACTATGCATGCCATGTTATATAATGTATGTGTAAAAGTATGCATGCCATGTTATATAATGTATGTGATTTCAGAGTCATCAATTATTCGTTTTACATAACACTGTTGATTTGTGGTAGAGAGGAGAAACAATATACATGGATACTTAAAACAACAAGAAACTAGGTATGCATTTCAGGAGTTATGAAGATGCAAACTGTAGTATGAATAAAAGGAAATTTATCCATGAACATCATCTTGCACTTAAACTTGTCTGAATCAGACTGTTGTTGTCAATTCACAGACATATCTGGAGTAAAAAGGCTTCTCTAACACCTCTGACTTTCTGTGTACAACAGACTTGTACATTTTACTAAAAGCTTGTCACATTTCATTGTAGACGCGTACAGTAAATTCAGAATTATAGTCAACATTCCTTCTTAAATAGGGGGTGTCATCTATCGCCCCTTGAGAATATACTATCCATTTCTTGGTTTTGAAGTTTGTCCCTCATCATCTTCTTCTCAACTTTTAATGATGTCACATCAAGTAGTTTGATCATTTATTAATGATATGCTCCTCTGAAAACCGTTTGAAAGAAAGTTTAACCATTTTAAAAACAAACAAAATAGTGATTGTGTGTGTGTCTTGACACTAGCAATTTGCCAAATGGTAAACGTTCAGATTATCTTAAAAAAAAAAAAACTGTCACAAAGGTTTGTCCTTTTGTTTAGCTAACTGAAGTTCTGTGAAAATAATAAGTTTATATATAGTCATCTCAATGACTAACTGATTACCAAATCCCACTAATTGTCCAGCTCTAGTAACATCTATTACACTATTTGAAAAAAACAAATACAAAGGTAAATAATTTACATATACATATACAAAAGGCTGAGTAAATTGTCTTAAAACAACATTAGAGCTTCAACTCACTGTTACAGTCAATATCACCACATCCAATCATGAATATTTTTGTAATGTAGTTTCCACTGCAAAAGGTTCAGTCTTTAGGCTGTAATGTCCAAAGCATACCACTCCTGCCTGTTGCTTTCCATAATGAATCTAGTGTACAGTGCTAATTTCAAGTGTGATTGCACATAAATCCACAGCCATTGTATCAAGCATCTTGACCAGCATATGTTTGTATGGAATAGCATGAATATCCATTTCTTTCTTCAGCCACATGAGGCATGTTACAGTTGAATGGATATGTTGTGGATGCAACTCATGTACGAGACTCATGTTGCATTTCCAAATGGAGATCCTTCTTAATTACATTGCATACTGTTGCCTTGGGCACTTGAATGGCTTGAACTACTGATCTATGTTTCTGGATTCTCACCTGTTACAAAATGCTGCACTTTGCTTACCACAATGGGGATATATATGGCTTGTTGTAGGTCTGTTTATGGTGTCCCACACTGAACCACATTCATTTTTTTTTACAATCTCATTAAGAACAAATGAATATCTCCATCTACAAATTCTCAATCCCCAATCTGAACATATCTTTATGACGTGATGTATAAATATTTTGCATCAGAAAGGCTGTTACATCCCCTTCCAAAAATCAATCACTTTTCAGTGGAATCACATACCTATGTATTTCCATTTCATCCCACTTTATACAGGTTGTGGTTATACACTGTGCTGATTTGCATAGTTTAATATAACATACTCAACCCTGTATGTATGTATGTATGCGTACACAAACACACTTCTTTAAAAAAAATCAATTGTATATTATTTTTCATCTCTATAACACATAAACCTTAATACATCTTAAAAAAATTACCTGTATGCTCAATATCCAGATAGAGACTATATTTATGTCAATATCCAGATACAGACTATACTTATGTCAATATCCAGATACAGACTATACTTATGTCAATATCCAGATACAGACTATATTTATGTCAGTATCCAGATACAGACTATATCTATGTCAGTATCCAGATACAGACTATATTTATGTCAATATCCAGATACAGACTATATTTATGTCAGTATCCAGATACAGACTATATTTATGTCATAGAAGCTAAAAAATGCACATATTTTACCTGAAACAGGGCTTTTCCTTTGCCTGGATACTCATCATTGACATCCTCCTTCCAAGTCAGAAATGCATCTTCTTCAATTATTTCCAAATCGTAGAGGTTCATAAACCATCGCAACAACATTCCTTCAAGAAAGGGACAAAGCTGATATTTTACAGTGTAAACTGGATCAGATAAAATATAATAGAAGCTTTTTTTTTAAATAAACACTTGTGTAATTTGGAAGAAAGAGAAACACAGTATTGTTTGTTGCTCAGATACTAAAAATATTAGCCATAATTTCTTCAACCCTTTTTGAACAGAGGGGCATCAGTAATCTATCCTAATACCCCCCCCTCTTACAATGGAAATACTTAATTCAGTTGCATGAAACTCAGTACAAACTTACTAAATAGCACCTATTAAATCTCTATTTTTACTAAACAACACCTATTAAATCTATTTTTTACTAAACTGCACCTATTAAATCTATTTTTTACTAAATAGCACCTATTAAATCTATTTTTAGGTGTGAGATTTTCCAAATTTTGTTTTGAGATACTGTTTAAAAACACAAAACATTAAAATACATTTTCTCTTAAAATTAAATTTTTTCATATTTTTTGGTCAGAAAGTACTAATTTACATACCAAGTCAGTTTCAACTTGACCACTATTCACAAACATGTGAATGGGCCACGGGCAAGACCAAAGAAAATTGGCCTGGGGTTTGGGAGTTGCCGAACATATCGCTAAACACCACCCCAAATTTGCTCCTTGAATGTGAATCAATCTGATCGTTAAAACTATTTTCAACAGTTTTGAAATTAGCAAAGTTTTCATTAATCTCTTAAATATCTTAGTTATCTGTCTGTTCACGGGCTCCATCAAACTGACCAACCCAAAATCTGTAAAGCTACACATTAATTTTTACCAAAATTTGAATTCACAATGTGCATTTTCATGAAATTTTGCAAGCTTTTAGTAAACATTACAAATCTGTTGTAAACAAAAAATCATTTTTAATAAAGCATTTTTACTTAATATTTGTCTGTGAATTTACAGTCTTAAAGTTTTTCCTTAAAATTTTCTCTACCTTAACTGTAGCAAACCCATCAATGAGAAAGTGAAAACCATTAGAATAAATTAATACCATTTTTTACTCTGCACTAGCATCTGCATTGTTCATAAAATTCCAAATAACTTACTCTAACATTTCCAACTGTTAACCTTTTCACATATTTTTTAATTTATGATTTTTTCTATAGATGTACTTTGTAGCCACTGAAGTAATCCTCCAGTCAAAATCAACAGATCACAGCATAAACTCATTAGCAGTTTTCTGGAGAGCTAATGTAAAGAGCACACGATTGTATCATGTTTCAAAAGATACTAAAATTCATGAAATTTTACTTTTATTTTACTGAGGTTTTGTTACACTAAGTTACCCGGGAAGTTTCTAATTATCATATTTTAAAAATACAATAACTAAATAAAATACACACTTTTTATATAAAAACATGTATTTACATTGCTTAGATGTTCAAGCTCATTTGCACTTAGTTCAAAATTTAAGGTGTTCTTCCATAAGTCTCACTGAGTCACAAAATTAATGTGTCCAAAAAAAAAGAGGAGGAGAACAGATGTAGGTTTTTTCAAATATGCATTTTGACCCAAAAAATATATATCAATCACTAGAATAAATCCTAAAAATATTATAATTTATCTAGCTTTCCAACTAATTTATTGAGGTTTAGAGAATTCCTTTGAAGTTCAGAACAACAAACTACTTACACAAAACCAAGCATTTGTATTGGTTAACAATTTACAGTAAGAAAACTAAAGAAGAACTTGCAAGATTAAGAACCTGCTCTTCTATTGGTTATAAACATGTCAGAGTATATAGTTGATTAACAAACAATGTCCAAATCAGAGAAAGGGGAGATGTTTTCTCTGTTGGGTTTGACAAATTTATTTCATATCTCAGCAAATGGAGAAGATTGGAGGTTCAAATTTTAGATTATTGCATTAATTATGTAAAGTTTGTGTTTCTAGACTGTTGTAAACAGTAACAGCCTATTTCTGATTTTATAAAATTCTCAATGGAGAAATTTGAACTCGGGTGTATCATAATAAAAGAAAGAAGACTGACAAATTTATATTCCTTTTTGAAATTTGCAAGTTAAAACAGATGATATAAAAATACTAACATGTTTTAGTCAAGTTTACTGACACAGACTGATAATTAAAAGTTATTTAATATAATTGTGAATGTAACATTCAGGGCTGAATGTAAGGGGTTAAGGTATATATTTTTTATACATGTTTGACTATTTTTATTGTACAAAATTGTGTATTACTTTATTACACAAATGGTATTTCCTGCATTCTTTTCTATCTGAATATCATTTCCCATTCAAAATAACTAGGTGGGGCACGGTAATATTGGATACTAATAAGAAAAAATAACTTACCCTAATAACATCTTTCAGTACTTACTGCACTGTACGCTTTTCTTTTAGTACCTACATACTGACAGTATATTCAATGAAATGTAGCGGTGTGACATAGGAGACTCGTCCTGTTTGAGAAGCCTGTAGGTTTTTTTTTAAATACACAGTCATATTTCTAGGCCTTTAGTACATTTTTTTGTTTGTGGCCGGTGTTTAATGAAAAGTTAACTCATTTTCTTAATGAACTCTGTGTATTTTAATCACAGAAGTACATAATATGATTAGATTCAATTTTGGTAGTTTTTGTATATTTTGAAGTCAAGAAAGGAGTTTAATATCAATAAAAACGGAATGTTTTTAAAACGAGACCCATGAAAATATTACAACCTTTGTAGGTGGATCCTGTGTGCTAACTTCTTGACCAGAATAAAAATACAACATAATATTATGTATACTAAGTTACATAACGCATTAGAAACCCCTTCTTCCTACATCAGATCACTGTTCAAAAAAACATAATCAACCATGTAGAGATTCCACCCACAAGTCGGGACAGTTTTTGTTCCATCATCATTCATTGGTCAAATGACTTTATAGCAGAACAATGACTAAATCATACATACAATCTTACTGTAACTAAGGTGGTTCATTCTTGAACATATATTTATATATCCATGCATTGTATGGCTGATACTATCGGCCCTATTACCATGACTAAATCACACATACAATCTTACTGTAATTAAGGTGGTTCATTCTTGAACATATATTTATATATCCATGCATTGTATGGCTGATACTATTGGCCCTATTACCATGACTAAATCACACATACAATCTTACTGTAATTAAGGTGGTTCATTCTTGAACATATATTTATATATCCATGCATTGTATGGCTGATACTATCGGCCCTATTACCATGACTAAATCATACATACAATCTTACTGTAATTAAGGTGGTTCATTCTTGAACATATATTTATATACATCCATGCATTGTATGGCTGATACTATCGGCCCTATTACCATGAGTAAACAAAGATTGGGAGCCCATGCTCTGGTCAAGTATAATAAAAGACCAACTTTGAATGTCACTCATGCTTAGACTCTTACAAACAAACATTAGCCTTGTAAGTTACTCTTCACTATTTTGTTCCCCCAGAAATCATAAAATACTGTTTAACCCTTTCCAGGTAGGGGACGGAAAGCATATCACGTCTTATACTCACATTTAAAATTTGGTTAAACTACTATTTTATGAGTGCATGTCAATAAATTTCCAATGGAATTGTAGTTAATAATTCAAATTTAAGTGTAATACATTATTAAATTTCTTAATTCAAGAGTAACTATCAGCAACAACAAAAGAATTGCTAAATATCGATTTTTGTTTCACGTGGTACATCATCATCTGCTTTTCCGTTTTATGATGATCACATTACAACATCTAGTTTTTAACAAATTACCAATACTGACAAGCTAGAATATAAAACAAGAACCTTTTCTATTTGTTGAGATATCATCATATCTCTTTAAATCCACCACAGTGGCTTCACCTATAACTTCATCTTTTGAAAATACTTGTTTACCTACGCCAACTTGTCTATAACTAATCAAAAGTGCTCATTTGAACTATTTAATCCTGTCAGTATTCCTAAGTACTTAGTCAGGGAAAGCCATAATAACCATAGGAGATTTTAAAGTGTGATGGTCAAGGCAAAATTCTGATCAGAAATAAGATTTTTAAATCCAAATACAGCTTTGTCAGGAAGCCTAATAAATCAGTGTTTTTTGTGGTATCAGGATACTAGTTTATTATGTGTAGATATTCCATGATACATATATAAAATCTTCATAAATTAAATTTCAAATTTACTCCATGTGTGAACTTTGACAAGATTTAACAAGCATGATGCACAAGTACAAAAAAAAACTTGTAACATCGTAAATAGTAAAGATTGTTTTTTTTTATTTACTGTTCTATCTTTTAAGAAAAATAACTGAAATTTAAGAATTTAATTGCAAATATTAATAATGCACATGTAATGTATGGTAGCCAAAATGTCACTGTATTTTACAAAATACTGGCATGCCACGACTAAGAGTAAGAGATTCATAATTTGTAGGGAAGTTTTATACTATTCAATATAGTAATGTGAGCTGCATGTGCGACATGTTTCAAAAGCCAATAAATCAAAAATATTATTAAATATAAATAAATGTATACCATTACAAGCTTTAAGCTTTTTATAATGAACATTTATGGTTTCCTGTTGCAATCTGCAGTCATTCTAGAAAGAAAAAAAAGGTAATTTAAATTTCCATAATTTTTTTGGCTGTTATGAGGTTGGTCAAATCAACTGGCCTTGTATACAATTAGGGTATAGAAAATAATAGATAAAATATTTTTTCTGAAAAACAAACAATTTGATATATATTTAGGAGGTTTTAGAGATCATTTTCAGGTGAAAAGTATTTTTAATCTTAAAATCAAAATCACTTTGTATGTTGGATAGTCAACATTGCAAAAGCCAAAATTTCATGAGAAAATCTTTAATTTAAAAATCTGATTTTGTGTACAAAAGCATTATAATGTTTACTTATAGTATGTGAAATGTCGTGAAGATACGCATATCTTATCCAACATTATAGGACTAATTTCATGGTTACTTCAGCAGTTATGTAATAGGTGAAATGCAACTACCCATAGACAAAGAGTTAACTACTCAGAGATGAAAGTGT